AGCTTGACAAATAATTTTCTCTGTCTTTTTGCAAGAACTTTTTTGTTCATAAACCATTTTTAATTTACAAAATCTACTTTTAACTAGCAAGTATTTTCAAGAAAGTCGTCTGTTGAAAGTTTTTATCTAGAATGCATAGTTTTTTCAAAATTTTAAAATGAATGAAAAAGGTCACTTTTTTTTGCTTAAATGTCATGACGCAGTAAAAGTTATGATGAGATCATTATGCCTTTTTTATTGACTTCATCGAGATACCCCAGTTAAAAAATAGCGCTCATAAAATTTTCGACAATTTAATTGATTTTTTGTCTTAGTTTTATGGTGTAATAAACTATAACTAACTTATAAATTTAATTTAATTATTTATTTCTTTGAATAAAAAAAACAAAACACTAGGTAGGCCGTCCGCACATGGGTCGATCGAAGGCACGCGTCTTGCTCGTTTTGTACGAACCCTGCTGCACAAGCGATTGTTCACCGCACACTAGTCGATTTAGTTTGCTGTTTGCTCACATCTGCCAACCAGGAAGAACGCATTTTTAATATCCATATTGGCATATTCTTTCATTGTATAATTATACAATTGAGAGTATTTTTCCACTTTGCCAATGAATTTTATATTAAACACCTAGAAACAGAAATTCAATGTTTTCATATTACTACAAAGCTAGTAGTACTACAAACAATGAACATAATATTCGTCGATCTTAAAAAAATTTATTTTACGAAAAAAACAATAAAAAACCAAGAAAGCAAATACAATAATCTTTTCCCCATGACTAAAAACGTGCATCTCACTCGAACTTTCTCGTGCGCTACCGATCGCAAATGACGAGAGTCGTACAAGACGAGGAGATTTGCAATTCTAGACGACCACTAAACGCCCCGTCTGCGGAGTTCAATGCAACAACGAAGGAACTTGGGCAGTGCGGAGATAATAAAAAATAAAAATAAAAATAAAAAATAAAAACATTTATTGCCCTAATAAAATGAATACATGTCAAAAATAATATCTTAGCCTTCTTTCTTCTTCTGCGTTCCGCTCTTGCATCGCCAGCATTTGATTCTTCTTCCTCTCGGTTCCTGGATTTTTCTGGGTGGTGACCTCGTCTGCTTCTGTAGGTACTATATCGGCAAACGTACCTACTTCCCTGCATGCCTGGCTTCTAGTCCCTAGTCCCTGGTCTTTCGTAGTCTTCTTGTGGCCTGGTTGAAGAACCCCCTGGTTCTATTCTCGGCCACCTCCCTCAGTGGCGTGTATCCTAATCTATTCCTGATGGTGACGTTAATAACTCTATCCTCCCATGCTGTTCCGTCGATGATTCGGTAGCATGAGGTCTCAGTTGCTTCTAACTTTCTCCAGTGGGATTCCGCAATGGAGCTCCACACTGGTACAGCATACAGAATCACCGACCTAACATATGCTTGGTAGAGTTGTATCTTCTTCGCCTTTGACAGTGGACTTGACCTAAAAATGAAAGGAAGTATTAGTTTTTTAGCTGCATTTGCTTTTACCTTTGTTTTTTGTGTATGCACCCGGAAGTTGAGTCTTCTGTCGAGGTGGACACCTAAGTATTTGACCGTCTCTGATTCCTGAATTCTGTTGCCTCCTACTGTGATCTCGTTCTGTGGTGGTCGTTTTTCCTGGGTGAATATGATGAACTGCGTCTTTTCTGCGTTGATTTTGATTTTCCATTTTTCCGTGAAGTCCGTGATTTTTTCCAGGTGGTACTCCATGTCATCTATGATTCTTCTTTCGTCTTTTCCGGATGCATACACTGCTGTGTCGTCTGCATACAGGGCTGTAGAACTCCTAGGATTTGTTGGAAGGTCTGAAACAAAAATGTTATATAATATAGGTGATAAAATGCTGCCCTGAGACATTCCTTCCTGGATTTGTTGGATCATTGACATCTTTTGGTCAGCTGAAACTTGAAAAGTTCTATTAGATAAATAAATATCACAAATATTAATTAAATAGTGCGGAAGTCTAGCCTTGTCCATCTTGTAGATTAATGCCTTCTTCCAAACCGTGTCGTATGCTTTTTCTATGTCCAGTATGGCTAATCCTGTCTTCTGTTTCCTGTTGAATTTTATCTTTGCATCGCTAATTATTCTTGCTAGTTGGAGTTCGCAGTTTCTTCCTTTTTTGAATCCGAACTGGTCTTCTTGGATAATTCCTCTTCTTTCTGTGTGCTTCACCAGTTTCTTGTAGATGATTTTTTCCAAAATTTTTCCCATCGATTCCAGGAGTGATATGGGTCTGTAGATTTCTGGTCTTCTTCCATTTTTCCTTGGCTTCAGAAGAGGTATGATCTTGGCGTGTTTTCAGTTGTTCGGAAAATGTCCTTTTTCTAGGCAGTATTTGAAGATATAGTACAGCTGTACTATGATCTTCTTCGGAAGTTCCTTGAGGGTGATGTTGTGGATTCCTTCTTGTCCTGGTGCTCTGCTTCCTTTCAGCTTCCTGATGATTTTTGCAACTTCGCTTGGGCTGGTATGGCCTTCCTCGCCTATTTGGAACTCGTTTCTTCTTCTGATCCTGTTGTATTCTTCTTCGACTTGCCTCCTTGTTCTTGCATCCGACATATCCAGGTTTTGTCTGTGTGTGGCTGCCATCTTCCTTGATATTGCATCTACTTTTCCTTGGGTGTCGTAGTATGTTCTCTCGTTGTCCATGATTTGTGGCATCTTTTGTTTCCCTCTTCTTCTTGCCTTTAACATTTTCCACAGCTCTTCTGATGTTGTTGTACCATTGGTTTTCAGTAAGACTTCTCAGTCTTACTTTTATTTCTTCTGATAGGATGTCACCGTAATCCTTGAATTCTTGTCTTCTGGTCCTTTGGTATGCTCTTCTGACCTTGTTCCTGTCCTTGATGATGTTCTGTAGTTCTGCTGAGATGACCAGGCCTCTGTTGTTCGTCATGAATTTTGGTATGTTGGCTTCCATAGCACGTTGAATTCTTCTTGTGATTTCTTCTACTTCTTCTATTGATTGGAACTGTCTCTTCATTTCCATTTGGTAAGTGCGGAGAGACCTTCTTCTTCTTTGGGTGACGTGTCCGTATTCAGACGTTGGCCGTCATCATGTTTACAATTTCCTGAAATATTTCTCTGTCGGCTGCTGCGCGAAATAATTCTTCTACTGTGAAACCACACCATTGTCTAATATTACGCAGCCATGAAAGTTTCTTTCGACCAATCCATCTCTTTCCTTCCACTTTTCCTTGTATTATAAGGCGAAGTAAATGGTATTTGGGTCCTCTAATTATATGGCCGAAGTATTCTGTTTTTCTCCACTTTATGGTGTTTATGAGCAGACGTTCTGAGTTGATCATTTGAAGAACATCTTCATTGGAAGTGTGCGAAACCCACGATATCTTTAGGATTCGTCTATAGCACCACATTTCGAATGCTTCTAACTTGTTTAGCATTGTGGTTTTTAACGTCCATGTCTCACAACCATACAATAGGATCGACCACACATAACATTTCAGGACCGTCTTACGAATATTCATTGACAGGTTTCTGTTGCATAAAACTGGTTTCCAGGTCATAAAAGCCTTACGTGATATTTCGATCCTGGATATTATCTCTTCATCAGAGTCACAATTTACATTTAACCAGCTGCCAAGGTATTTGAAATGATTTACCCTTTCTATGTCTTCTCCATTAAGAGAAAGCAGAGCTTGATCTATATGGATCTTTCCAACTGCCATCCACTTTGTCTTTGAAATGTTGATTTTTAGGCCTCTCCGATAACTTGCTTCACTGACTAGATTTAGTAATGTTTGGAGATCTTGTAAACTTTCTGCAAGAATGGCTGTATCGTCAGCGTATCTAATATTGTTGATTACTTCTCCACCTAGTCTTACTCCCTCTTGTCTGTCATCCAAAGCCTCCCTAAAGATTTTTTCAGAGTACAGATTAAAAAGAGTGGGTGACAAAACACAACCCTGCCGTACTCCACGTTTGATGGGTATTTTTTCAGTGGGACTGTCTCCAATTTGGATAGAGGCTACTTGATTGTAATATAAGTATTTCAGCAGTCTTATATCATAGTGGTCAAGTCCTGCTGCCCGTAGGCAGTCGAAAAGTGTATTGTGTTGGACTCTGTCGAACGCCTTCTCGAAGTCGATGAAACAAACATAAACATTCTTTCGGAATTCACAACTTTTTTGTAATAGAACGCGCATACAGAATAGTGCCTCTCTAGTTCCTAGACCGTTTCTAAATCCAAATTGCTTATCACCCATCTTACTTTCGCATAGAAGGAATACTCGGTTTTGTATAATTCGTAAGAGTATCTTCAGTGTGTGACTCATCAAACTGATTAGTCTAAAATCGCTGCATTTGGTGGGCCTGCTTTTCTTTGGTAATGTTATAAACAGTGACTCTAACCAATCATCTGGTATTTTTCCTTCGTTGTAAATTTTGTTGAAGAAAGTGGTTAAGCAGGCAATGCTTTCCTCATCCAAAAGTTTAAGTAGTTCGGCAGGTCCAGGTGCTTTATTGTTTTTGGCTTGCTGTATTGCCTTTTCGACTTCTGAATTCAGTATATTGGGACCTCTGTCCAACTGGTTGTCATAGGCAGTATTTGGAGCATTTTCCCTAGAAGCATCGTCAAAAAGGTCAGTGATGTATCTCTCCCATTCTTTGCACTGTTGTTCGTGATCACAAATTTTTACGTCCTCGCTTTTAAGTATGTGAGCATTTTTCTGTTTTAAGTATGTGTTTTAAGTATGTGTTTTAAGTATGTGAGACCTACGCGATTGAAATCGAGTCGACCACTTCTAGTGTCGACCTATGAGCGGACAACCTAGTGTTCATTGGTGATGTCGATAAGTGACTTAATTGATTTATACAGTTTTATAATTATTGTATTATTGTTAATTTAATATTTAGCTATGTATGTAACTTATGCCTTGCAGTATATATATATATATATATATATATATATATATATATATATATATATATATTCATATTTATTTTTTCAGAAATCAAATTATGTCCGGATAGGATAAAAAAACTTCGACAAGTTCAAAATGAATAATTACCCAATAATTAGCAGCATGGTGCAAGCTATCACTGTTCTTACGGTTTTAAAAATGATGACAAAAGGTAAAGAGGTATAAAAGCCTTAAAAATAGTAATTAATATAAGTGTAAAATATAAATGTTTGCTTTATTATGAGGCCAAATTATGTAGAGTTGGTCGCTTAAAGGAGTACAACCTGATATTCATTGGACTTTGTGAAAATACTGAAATAAGTCGAATTATATTAGAAGGGGTCATGCTTTAACGATATCGACATCTTTCATTTGTCATGTCTCTCCCTACTGTCTGCAGAGTACTAATTAAAAAAATTATGGATGCCTTAATTCTTTAGCGAAATATATGTCTAACAATGTCCCATACATAGTATATTTTCTGTATAAAATTAAACGTTTGTGAGACTGGAAGGCAGGATGTTTACAAATGATAGATATCTACATTGCTAAAATATATCATCTTTGAAATAAAAATCGACCTGTTTTAGCATTCTCATAAAATAAACTGAATATTGTAAAATATCAGTGTGGACTCTTTTTAGTAGCCAGCCATGTATTATTATATCCTTTAAAATTATAAGGTAAAATTTAATTAAAATAGTTATAATTAAAATATAAGCTCAGTAATAAAAGAATGTTTCAATAATTTATTTATAAGATATAGGTATTAAAAAAATTGATGTAAGGTTGAATGCTCGAATAAATTAACTTTGATAATATAAAAGACAAATATCGAGCACAGTTTAATTAATTTAATCTTGCCCAAGTACTTTCGATCCTAGATCATCTTCAGGGGCATTTCGTCAATTGCGGCCTATCCGACAAGAATAAAATGTCATAAACATAAAATGGTACATCACACTACACTACACAAGGACAAACAAACACTTTAAAATTTTTGAAAAATAGGCGAAGCTGCATTGTGTACAGAAGCCAGAGGCAGAATCAGATTAGATTCTGTTTCCGGCTTCTGTACACAATGTAGCTTCGCCTATTTTTCAAAAATTTTAAAGTGTTAGTGTAGTGTGATGTACCATTTTATGTTTATGACATTTTATTCTTGTCGGATAGGCCGCAATTGACGAAATGACCCTGAAAATGATCTAGGGATCGAAATTACTTGGGAAAGATTTAATTAATTAAACTGTGCTAGATATTTGCCTTTTATATTATCAAAGTTCATTAAAAAAATTATTAGAGCTTTTATAATGTATTTTACTCGCTGTTATATGATTTTCTTTAGTGCAAATATCTTATACATGTTTTTCCTTTAACTTATATCTTATATCTTATGCTTTTTTATTCGTCCCCTACATGGTAGTTCATTTTGAATGAAAATGTAAAAAATGTAATGCGATTCTAAACATGGTATTTCTATATTTTTTTATCAACCCTTTTTGTCATTGCTTCAAGAAAGTTTTGTGCAGTTTTTGAAAAATATTTCTAATATATTTTAAATAATTTTGTACATTATCAAAAGATAAAATAGTTTACAGGTTTCATGGCTCTAGATGTAAACCGTATTACATCAATGACAGTTAATTGCAAATTCGAATTCAGCTTTAAAGAATTTTTCAATCTTTTATAGAACTCCTTGATAAGTACGTACGTTTGGTGCAGTAAAGAATTATATAGACGTATAAATATAATTAAGTTGCAATTGCTTAAATTTTGATGTATCTTCGTTAAAATCGATAGAAATATTTGCAGCTACATCAAAGGAATCACCAATACAATTTTTGATATGAAGACTTACAAATACAAAAGTTTCGAGAATACTCTTCTCCCCCAATAGAATGAACACATTTCAAACTAATTATCCTGTCTTTAACTTCTGTTTTATTTTCCTATCTTAAGGTCACTTATCAAAATCTTAAATGTCTGTTTATAGATTTGTTTGTTAGGAATAATAGATGACCTGTTTTATTTCCTCAACTATTTCTTTTTAAATTAATTCTTTAATAATGCTTATAATTTGATTTACGGTTATTTTGCTCAATAATGTTGATTGACTACATGTATAAATTCAATGTAGAATGCAATGTATAAATTTGAATGCCCCATGTCCGAACTTCTCGATTGATGATGTAACAACGTAACTTCAAAAATACGTTTTGCCGGAGGTAAATATTCTGGTTATACTACAAACAAAAAAGAATTGAACCCCAATTTATAAACTCACAAATAAAACAACAATTTATCAAGAGGTCATCAAAGTACTTTTGAACCGAAATGTTAACATATTATGTGTAGGTACACATTACTCACACTGTGAAATTATTGCCACAATATTTATCAATTGATCTATTTTTAACCGAAAGGTAAGTAACCTCGTTATTTAATAAAATTATAAATTAGGTAAAATTAGGAAATTATGATTAATGTGAAATTATTAATTGTTCTTCTTCTTATTCTTCCTTCTAGTATGTAGGCTTTAAAGCATGTTTCTTTTTCAATATTAGCCTCGTAAATTGTTTAAATTGTCGCACCATCTTCTTCTTGGTCTGCCAATACTTCTTCGTCCATTTGGTGACTTATCTCGTGCTATTCGTAATATTCTATCCTCTGCCATTCTACTAATATGTTCGTTCCACTCCTGTTTTCGTTTTGTCACCCATCCATTTATCTCTTCAATATTTCATGCTCTTCTTATGTTTTCGCTTCTCTCCCTATCCAAAAGACTTCTCCCTGATATTCGCGGAGTATTTTCTTCTCTCCTGTTTCTAGCAGTCGTCTCGTTTTAGATGTGTCAGGTCTTGTCTCCGCCGTGTATGTTAATATAGGTCTAATTGCTGCTGTATAGATTCTTGTTTTTGTGTCTTGTCTTAGGTGTTTGTTCTTCCAGATTGTGTCGTTAAGAGAACCTGCCACTTTACTTGCTTTTAAGCTTTGTTGTCGTACTTCTTCTTCAACATCTCCGTAACTAGTTATATCTATTCCCAGATATCTAAATCTTGCTTCCTGCTTTATTACTTTCCCATCAATTTCGATTTTACACCGTAGTGGGTATTTAGATGTTTTCATACATTTGGTTTTTCTGCTTATATTATCATTTTGTATTTGTTAGCTGTTGTATTGAAGATATGTGTTAATCTTTGGAGCTCGTCTTCTGTCTCGGCGATTAATGCGGCGTCGTCTGCATAACATAATAATTGGATTTCTTTGTTTCCCATTCTGTAGCCATGACCTTTACTACTGCTTGTATTATTTTGTCCATTATTATATTAAAGACAAGTGGGCTCAACGAGTCACCCTGTCTGACTCCGCTTTGTACTGGTATACACTGTGTTAGTTTTTCATTTATTTTTGCCTGTATTCGATTATGGAGGTAGACGTTTTCGATGGTTTGTATAATATTGATTGATATGTTTCTTTTATACAGTAGGTGTAAGACGTCTTCGACTTGGATGCGATCGAAAGCCTTTGTCAGGTCTATACAACATAGATATGCTGGTTTATTGTACTCGATGGCCTTTTCTGTAATTTGTCTTAGTACAAATACGGCATCTACTCAGGATCTTCCGGATCTGAATCCTTGTTGTTCATCTGATAAAGTTGTTACTTTATTGATTTTATTGGTTAGGACTTTTGTGGAAAGCTTAAGTGCGATGTTCAGTAGATTTACACCTCTATAATTGTTGGGGTCTTCTTTATCTCCTTTCTTGAACATTGGTATCCTTATGCTGTTTTTCCATGCGTTTGGTATCTTGCAGTGCAATATTAGTTTTTGTATTGTTTTGTTTTTCATCTCTAGGGTTTTACTTTCTCCTCAGTATTTAAGAAGCCCTTTGGTTATTCCGTTTGGTCCTGGTGACTTTCTATTTTTGAGCGAATTTATGGCTATTTCTACTTCCTGAAAACTGATTTCTATTTCGTGTCTTAATTCAGGTACGTTATTGTGTTGATTATTATTTTCTTTTGCTTTAAACAGTTCCGTCAGGTATCTTTCCCATTCGTTTGCTGGTATGTTATTGTATTCCTTCAATTCTGCCATTTCTTTCCGTTGGTTTCTTATAAATCTCCATTTTTTTTTTGTGTACCGTAGAAGTCGCTTTCCATCTTTTTTGTAAACTGTTCCCAGTGTTCATTTTTTGCTCTTCTTACCAACTGCCTTGCTTCATTTCGTAATCTTCTATAGTTGTCTCGGGATTCTGGGTATTTGATGTTTTGTACTTCATGTAGACCTCTCGTTTCTCTTAACATTTCTCTTTTATTTCTTTTTTGGACCTTGGTGTATTGTTGTTGTTTCTTTTGTTCAGTATAGCTTTTTCGTTTTCCTAGAGCTTCTGTTGCCGCTTTTTCAATGTTTAAATCCATTCTGTATGAATATAAATAGGAACTGATTAGTTCCAGTTTAATTGTTCTGACCAAATTTTTGAGAAATAATTTTAACGTTAATTATACATAAACTTAATTAACCCAAAGGATCGAATATTTGTGAAATGTTTAAAAGAATGGAGAGCTTACTAACTGAACTTGAAGTTAAATTCTTAGTATGTTATTTAAGAACATCTGTTTTAAAGCACCATAAAATACCTGAAGCTATGTGTGGTCACTTATACGCAGAAAAAATAAAATCTATGAGAGAAGAATTAAGATTATGAATAAAGGTAGGACAATTTGAAACTCATTTGGTCAAAAGAAAGCAACCACTTTGACGTATTCCATTAATATCAATAACTTCAATAAGGTTTACTGGAAAAAGTAATTATAATAATGGAACAAATAATTATAGAAATAATATTCATTTTTCACACATTCTATTACATCAACTTATAAACCTTTATAAAATGTAATAGTCGTGAAACAACAAATATAATTATAATACTAAGCTAGAGTATAATGACCCTATAATTAATGTAGAAGGTGAAACTTATCCGCAATACACTAATATTAAATATAAATCCTAACGAACAAAATTTTTATTTTCTAGCGAACTGAACCAACGGAACGTAAATCCTCTTTCCATTTCTGTAAATAACATGGATTGTTAGGAATTGACATTTAGTAATTCCTGAATATGGTATTAAATTACTTGTAGACTCCGTATCTAACTATCTTACACTGCAT